CAATAATTGAAAAATAAGAGTTCTTAATGCAATTCCTAATCAAAGAAATGAAAAGAGAGTTGAAGCCAAAAAGTTGTAAAATAGTATACAAAAACTTCAAATTGATATTGTCACAGGATTTAACAATGTCTAATTTAAAAATAGTGTTCCCACCTCTAACATTGAGACAAATATCTAGAACAAGTTCTTGCGCCAATAAAATATTATCAGAGATAGATAGATCTACCTTTAACCAACCCTGTTTGATTTTTAGAAAGAATTTTATCAAACATAGGAGAAAGACGATCCATAATAATTTTAGAGATAAGTTTACTAAAAAAAGAACAAAGACTAATAGGAAAAAAATCATCCCACATAATGGTAGAAGCCTTCTTAGGGATAAGCACAATAGAAGTACTAGAAAATAACTTAGGTAAGGGGGAACCATTAAAAAAATCTAACACATCACCATACAAGTCATCACAAATAATATGCCACACTTTTTGAAAAAAATTCATAGTAAAGCCATCAGGGCTAGTAACATAATCAACATTCATAGAAAAAATAATCTTTTTAAGATCATCCAAAGAGGGAAACTTGGTAAGAATGTTATTATCCTCATCATTGATGCAAAAAGAAATAAGCTTGGGATGCTCCACTCAATCAAGTTCAAAGTTTCTATTAAATAACTTAGTAAAATAATCCACAACAAACTTGGCAATATTCTCCTCTCCCTCAATATGGCTACCTTCATAATCAATTGTTTTATGGATAAAACTTTTAGCTCTATTATTCTTAACCAAAGAATGAAAATACTTAGTATTCTTATCACCATTAAGAAGGTGTTTAGAAGCAGTTTTTTATCTCCAAAAAATCTCTTTCTGATTTTGGAGCAGAAAAAGAGAATTTTTAGCTTCTTGCAAAGCCTTAGTATATTCCATAGAGGGATTAGTTTGACAAATAATTTCAAGAGAATTAACATTCTCCTCAGCAGCCAGAATATTAGCAAAGACTTTTAAAAATAGTCTTATTCCACCAATTGATTCTAAACTTAAGTCTTTGAAGCTTAAGCCAAAGTCTAACCATCCCTTCAATATCATTATCTGGGTGAAGGGTAGCTTCCCAATTTTCCTTAACTAAATCTTAAAAAAGTATCATTAAGAAGCCACATGTTTTGGAATCTAAAAGATGGTTTATAATTATGATTCCTAGGCTTAATACGAACCAAGAGGGGAGAGTGATAAAAAAAAATTTTATTGAGATGTTCAATAAAAATATTATTATAAGCATTAATCCATAAGTCATTAAAAAGCACCCTATCAAGCCTTTGCCACATGTTACCATGATTCCAAGTGTAAGAATTACAAGAAAAACCTATATCAACCAGCTTACAATCTATAATCATATCATTAAAATCATCCATAGATTGATAATTTGGAGGGCAGTCGCTAGGCCTCTCACTAGAGTTATGTATGAAATCAAAGTCACCACCAACAATCCAAGGATCATCTATAAGGCCACAAAAATCAGAAAGTTGCTTCCAAAGTGTTTTTCTAATTAAATGGGATGAAGAAGCATAAATAAAGGATGATTAGAAAGCAAAATTCATGCATTCTATTTTACAATACAAAACTTGAGTAAAATCTCCAACAACATCAATATTAATTGAATCTTTCCAAAGAATCTAAATTTTATCAGAAACACTGACCCAACTATGTTTGAAATCAAGCAAAGTAGTCGTCTCATTCAACTTGCAAATTGAAATGAGAGGTTTAAAAATAATAATGAAAAAAATATTATGAATACGACATAAATTTCTAACCCTAATATGAGAGGAGGGGCATCCAATGCCCTAACATTCCAAATAATGGACTTAAAAATTATAAACCATTTTATTCAAAGTTTGAGATTGGGTACTTCTAGGTGATTGAGCACACTAGCTTTTTGATTTTTTATTCCTTTTATTCGAAGCTAAAGTAAAGTCTTTCATATGAGATAAGTGTTTGTCATCATCAAATTCATCATTATTGTTCACCAATTCATCAACATTATGAAGATAAGTGGAGTTACCAATACCAGTCAAATCTTTACCATTATTTAAAGGCACACTCTCATGAATCGCGGCAACTCCTTCCATAGGATTGGAAGTAGAAATGAATTCTCCTTCTTCCATACTTTTCTCTATACCATTATCCTACACATTCATTAAAGAAGGATTAGATGGAAAGTTAGTGCACTCAATATTTTCAACATTCGTAACCAATTTTGATAGATTTTTGTTAAGAACAACATGTATAACTAAACCTAATATTTGCTCATCCACAAATTTCCCCTCTGTAACATCTCTATTTTTATTTGTAGAAGTGTTTTGAGAGGCTTCTTGATTAACTCCCTGCACATTAGAAACATTATAAGGCTCAATCCTTTCGGTGTCATTAATATTTTCACCCTCATTAGTGACCTTTTTAATATTCTCCAAATTTTGATGTTCCACAAAAGCCTCCTCATTATTTAGCGGTAATGTTTCCAGGTCATTCATTGACAACAGGTATAACTAAACCTAACATTTGCTCATCCACAAATTCCCCCTCTGTAACATCTATATTTTCATTTGTAGAAGTATTTTGAGAGGCTTCTTGATTAACTCCCTGCACATTAGAAACATTATAAGGCTTAATCCTTTCGACATCATTAATATTTTCACCCACATTACTGACCTTTTGAATGTTCTCCAAATTTTGAGGTTCCACAAAAGCCTCCTCATTATTTAGCGGTAATGTTTCTAGGTCAATCATGACCCCCCCGCCCTCCCGAAACTTTTAAGCTCTCCTTTAGCTTTCGTAAATACGGATGTAAAATAAAGTAATCCGACAAAAAATGACCAAGCATTTTACAATGAGAACAAAAAATAGGAAAATTTTCAAATTCGACTTTCTGAAAATAACCATTCAACTCAAATCCAATCAAAATTTCCTTAGGATGTTTCTTATAAACATCCAATTCAACCATAACCCTAGCCATCGAGGGACAGGAGATGATTGAAGTAGCTTGATTAGTTTGAAGTGGTCGACCAAAAATTGAAACGAGGGCGAAAAGAACTTGAGAATAAAAAAAATGGAATCTTAGATTTGAAAATGAAATCCACACAAGAATAATTGAAGATTCCTCACGAACATCAAAATCAAGAGTCTATTTTAGGAGCCGCATTTGACATTTAACGATATAATATATTCTCATAGAAAAATTTGGCTATAGTCAAGATCATTCGTTAGTTGAATAGCAATGTGTCATTGATCCATAAGACCCATCGAGAATGAACTAAAAAGTTTCAGATTCACCAAAAAACATGTGAATAACATCCAGATTTGGCCTACAAAGCACAAATTTACCAACCAAAGTAACCCAAAAAGGAGCAGCAAGTTGTGAGACAACTTTGTCATCAAACATCAAAGCCGACAAACCCTTATAAGTCGAATGAACAAAATCAATCAAGTTTCAGAGATGAAGAGGAACCATTGAGCACATCTTTAAAAGATAGAGATTTAGTATCATTGTTCGAAAGCCACGGGTTGGAAGACGATGGTGAGGCCATCGCCAACACCCAACCGAAAAAAAATACGTCGACAAATAAAACGAAACACTATAAGAACCAACTTGAAAATGAAGAAGAAAATTAACTAAATAAACTAGCCAGAGATCCACCCGACGCGAGACGAAGGAGAACACAGAGAGGAACCCTAAAATTGCCTCACGATCGCCCTACAAGATGTACTTGATATCCAAGTTGGATGAAAAGTGTTGTTCATGTGATTTTTTAGAGGTATATCTGATGTTTTGTGTATGATTGAAGTATGAAATTGACCATTAATTTTATTGCACTTAAGAATATGTTATTTGTTGCATATAATATAGTATTTGTAGTATCTTTTGCGTTGTTATATTTTCATGAATTTTTATGCATTATGATGTTAATGTCAAAGACAATCTAAATATTTGTAGCATATTGAATATTAGTTAGATAATTAGGAATCAAATGACTAGGGTAATGCTTTTTTAGGAATAATTATAAGATAAATTTGATTAAAAATGGAAAAATTAGATTAACTTTTTGGCCAAATAAAAGACTTAGTTTTAAAATGAATTATAAATCTTTATAAACAAACCTTTTATTATGTCAACCATTACTTTTTTATCATATTTTTTATAAATAAAACAATTTTAGTTTTTTTTAATAAATTTATTGTAGAAATAAAGATGATAGTATAATTTTTTTTGGAACAGGGTATCCACCCGCTGCCACCCCCGAAAAGGAGCTTGGCGGCGTGACTAATTCTCAGTTGATTTAGAAGAGACACCCACCCTAGAAACCTATTTGCCCGCACTTGATTGAGCACCATTTAAGAGACATTGCTGCTCGAGGGGAATTGAACACGGGTTGGGAGGTTTCTAACCATACTCGCCCACCAACCAAGCTAAGCAACAATGGGTGATAATGATATAGTAACTAAGCTTTCAATCACACTATCACTATCTTTTTCATTATCATTTAATTCTCGAGTTGCAATGGAATGAATGAGGATTGATAATTCATAAAATTAACTTCTAATTCATAATAGTTAATGTAAAGAGTCTATAATTTCTCCCCTTGACGCCATTGATGCCTATATCTTTACAACCCTAGGGTCTGTTTGGTAACAATTGAGATTTTAACATTAGTGGGATTTACTAAATCCTGTAAATTCGAATTTAGTAAATCCTAAGGGTTTTATATCCTGAAATCTGTTTAGTATGACAAATGTTAAATCATGAGAAACTGTTTCATAATACATTTCAAGATTTATGGCAATTAGAAATTTAAATGTGAAGAAGCTAATTATAAATTAAAAATTAAATTTATAATTAAAAAATAAAATTAATGTGTTATGAATTTAATAATATAATTAATATAAGTTACTTATTAATTTACTAGTGACTTAACTTAGATTAATCAATAATAACTTAAGAGGCGTTTAGGGTTTGCCTCTTTTCGTCGTTGTTGTTCGGCTTCCTTGCTTCGCAGGAGGTACAGAGATTGCACGTTGTTGTTCGACTCCTTCGTGGCTGTTCGACTACGCTCCTTCCACGACTTTGCCTTCCTGTTGGATCGTAAGCTACGACATTTTGATCGGAAGCAACAACGGGAGCTCGCTGGCTACGAAGGCAACTTTCTCCCTTCGCACGCTTCTTCGGCCAAATCCCGTAAATCCGCCGAGCCGAGGGACTTAGTAAATCCCGGATTTATGAAGTAAATTCTTAAATCCGGGATTTAACGCGCGCACAAAGAACGTTTGGCTGGATTTAGCGTATATCCCGCTGTAAATCCGATACCAAAAAGCCCCCGAGTTCGCTTTTCTCCCTGCAAGCCCTGATGGCGGCGAGCTCTATGCCGAGCATTGACGCCGGAGAAGCTTTGGAACGGTTGCGGTCGGCGGATCCACCTCTCTTCCTTTCACCATCATCGGATCTGTCCGCTTGTGCTCGCGCCGCTTCTCGCTCCCTCTTTTCTTCCCTCCTTCCTTACTGCCCCAAAGCCCCCCTCGACTCGCTCCTCACCGACGAGGGCTTTGACGCTGAGCAGATATGGTCTCAGATAGATCTCATTTATCGTCCCATTATTTCCTTGATAAGACGTGAGGTCAAACGTTTGGAGCACGTGGCGCCCCCTGTCAGTGTGGTTGAGTTCAAGGAAAGTTGCAGAGAGGAGGAAGGTGAGGAGATGGAGGAAGGAGCAGATGATGATGATGAGGAGGGGGAGGAGGAGGAAGAGGAGAATGATGATGATGAGGGCGAGGAGGATGTGGATGAGGAGGAGGAGGAGGAAGACAAAAAAGGGGATGGGATAAGCAATGGAGTGGAGGATAGATTCTTAAAGATTAAGGAGCTGGAGGATTACTTGGAGGATGATGAGGCGAGAGAGTATGGGTTCCAGAGGAAAGAAGGAAGTGTGAAGCGGAAAGAGGTGGAAGATGGAAGCGATGAGAACGAGGGAAATGAAGACGATGATGACGCAGAGGTAAAGATATAAATACACACATTCTTTCACTTGTTTATATTTAGATTTTGGAGAATGCTTTGCTAGTTTACAATGGCATAATATGATCTGAAAATGCTATTTTTCTACTTATTTTTTGGAAACATCAAGCATATATAGAACTACACTAAGCATTATACATTCTTGTTCTTTTTGGTTAGTGCTTAGCCAAAATTTTACATAACCTTTGGTTTGTCCACTAAATATTACTGAGGTTAATATAGTTGTTAATGGTTACTATACAATATTGGTGTTTTCATATTGGCGACACATTTATTCTGTCTTGAAAACAAAGCCCCCTTGTGTAGTAGTTTTATATAGGCAGGTTGCTTTGGAGTTTATCGTTTGCTTTATCAATACTTGAGGGGGAAACAACAAAATAGTTACAACTTACAAGTATTACTGTTAGGTAGTGAGTTTATCTTGACATAATAGAATACGAGTGTAGGGTTTTTAGGAATACCCGAAACTCATAATTTACATATTATTTTATTTGAATGATAATGAACTTGATCATATTCAAGGTGAGTTTTAAGTAAGGGCGCTTGCTCTTTAAACCATTGTCTAGTCAATATCGAGTGTATAGTGATTTGCTGAAAATATGATTCATGATTACTCAAAATTATTACATTTATTTTATATTTTTCATAACATTTAAACACTACAACTTGTACTATTAGTAAGTATAATCCCAAATTTAAGGATACCATGGTTTTATTTTCAAGACCTTATGACTAGGAATCAGTTGACCCCATATTTGATTAAAAATTAATTTGAGTTATTCCTTGTAATTTCAAGTTCAAATTGAGAGTAGCTCTCTTGAAATCTCTTAATTTATTAACCTTGCACAAGTGTTAGTTACTTTTTAAGCACTATAGTCTATGATGCATCGACACGGACACGACACAACACGAACACGAGACACGACATTTTTTTAAAAATATAGGACACGGGTGCGGTGTGGACACGATGTAATAAAATTTTAATATAATATATAGAAATTATGGTGACATTATATTAAAAATGACAAGCAATAATAAATCAATTTCATGATAACTTGTTTAGCTTATAACATAAAGATATTTAGTATAAAATGTATAGTACAACCACAAAAAAAAGCAAAAAATCATTTAGTACAACATGAATGTCCAAATAATCAATAGAGGGAATGATATAATTAGATTCAGAGGTTGGTCTTTGGCCTTCAATATCATCATCATTGAATATCATTGCTTCTAACTCTTGTTTATCTAGAGAAAGATTTGCAACCTCCAATAATCCCATATCATCAAGGCACTCGAACCCATCTCCAACAACATCCCACATCTTGTTATCACCTGTCATATAAAGTGGAGTTTTTCTTGATAGAAGACGAAAATTTGTATGCATATAAACTAAATCTTCAGCACATTGTGGAGTTATTTTATTCGTCTTCATTGATTGAATAAATGAGTATGTGCTCCAATTTCTCTCACAACAGGAAGAGAATGATACTTAACCAAGCAGTTTTATTGCTATTGTTTGAAGAAGCGGTGCTGAAGCTCTATGAATCAACCATCACATTTTTGGATCCATCATCCATCTATCAATCAAAGATTCTTGATCACAAAAATCCTCTAAATATCCAAAGAACTTTACAAGTTTTATATTAATTTTTCTTCTCTCATCCTCATTTGGGAAATATCTTTTAAGGCATATCTTTCTTATATTTGAAACTTCTATATCTTTTTATGGTGAGACACGTTGAGTGTCTTCTTGAAGTCATTATTTACTTGAATAGCTTAAAATAATACAAAACATATAAAATTATATGTTCATTTACCAAGAAATTGGAATAAATTTAAAAGATGAATACAAATGTACCTTGAATTTAATAAATGAGCCAAACAATGCAGAGGTGTGTTGCGTTGCCCTCTGGTGTGATTAAACCTTCCCGGTTAGGTCGCGGGGTCAAGGGATAGTGCACCTGTGGGGGTTTCCGGGGGCAACGCCCCCAGAACAAATTTGTTTGTATGAAAAGATACCGAGCGGTACCGAGCATGTACCGAGCGGTACCGAGCATGTACCGAGCTGTACCGAGCATGTACTGAGCGGTACCGAGCATGTACTGAGCAGTACCGAGCATGTACCTAGCGATACTTAGCGGTACCGAGCATGTACATTAACTTTTTCAACAATGAAGAGAAGAAATGGCGAAATCCACTTACAGGTCTTGGCTCTCTTACGCACAGAAGGTGCTCTGTTTGGCGTTGATTGCGAACTTTGCCTCGGCTGACCGTAGAAATCATGCATGAATGAAGGAATGGGAAAGACGAGCTGGCTTGGCCTCGGCTCGAGCAGAAATGACAAAGGAACGGGAGGCGAAGGTAACGGGCTCTGTTTGGCGTCGGCTGCGAGCTCGCCCAGTCCGCCCTAGAATATTTCTTTCGTGGATAAAAAAAATAGAGCTTCTCGTTCGCGGAAAAGGCTAAATAGAACGAATCGGACGATTTAATTATTTAATAACCGGACACGAGTGTCAGACACGCATGTCCGGTTTTAATTTTAATTTTTAAATTGCGACACTCTAATGCCGTGTCGGACACGTGTCCATGCAGTGTCGGACACGTGTCCGTGTCCGACACGTGTCCAACATTGCATACCCTCTTTAAGCGGAGTGTCGGTGCATCATAGACTATAGTATACCTAATCATTATTATCATTAACCTTATCTTCTTATTTGGATTTTTCTTTGTGAATCCCTCTTGTACACTCATTTGTGTTGAGTTAATGCTGCACTATGCTCAATTCTTTTCATAGCATTTTGCTAAACTACTTTTGTGCTATATGTTTAATTTTAGGACCTTTGCATGGTCTCTTCTTTATCCTAATTGGCCAATTTAGCCAAGTCTATTTTTCCCGAGCATATTCAATAGGTGCAACTCCCATAATCTCTTTAAAACCGCTATTTGGATTTATATTTTGCCTAGTCTTGTTGACCTTATTCTTTAATATGGTCTCAATCTCTTCCTCATTCCCCTTGGTGCTCAGATATCTTAACCTTTGGTTTAGACCTAACCTATAGGGACCACCATAGGAAGAAATCTATTGTTTTTAATCTTGACTAAACTTGAATGGCTTAGGCATTTCCTAGACCATTCTCATGCATGTTAAGGAATTCCTAAGTCTATTCTAAGTTTTAGTTTGAAGCCAAAAACCCAATTAAACTTAAACCCTATATATTTATAATCTATGTTGCACCAATACGGATACAACGACACAAATACGTCACAATACGGATACGGGACATATCAATTCTTAAAAATACAGGATACGGGTACGGCGTGGACACATCATTATAAATTTATAATTTATAAATCATACATAAAAATTAAGAAAACAATCAAAGCATAATATTTGAAATTACAAAAATAATGAAAGCAACATCATTTGTAGCCTTGTAGCTTATAATATCAAAATAAAAGTAAGCATTAAATGTTTAGTACAACAACAAAAGCATAAACATAAATTTTCTAGCACATGAAGTTTTAACTATTCAATATAAGGAATGATATGATTAGCTTCTTCAGTGGTTTGTCTTTGAACTTCTATATCATCTTCAATAAATATCATAGCTTCTAATTCAGACTCATCAAGTGAAAGATTAACATTTTCTAATTTTTCTCATATCATCAAGAGACTCAAATCCATCTCGAAAATGAGAGAAATCTCACTCGTAGCCGTGGAAGTAAATACGACGTCTTTTTTTCAAATTTCTTTTTTGTTTTTCAAAGGACACGCGTATCATATATGCATGTCATTTTGAAATTAAATAGTATTTTAATTGGATACGGCTTTACCGTATCCAACACGTATCAGTGCCGTATCGGAAGTGTATCCGTGTATCAGATACAACACGCCTTCATAAATAGGTGTATCGGTGCAACATAGTTTATAATTCATACCACTTAAGGTGGCATTCAATCCAAACTTAAACCCAAACCCTTGGGAGTAATTTAAATCAATTTAAACTCACCTCATAAGTGGTTTGACCCATTTGGACCTATGGTCAAAGCTTTGTTGACCAAGTTTGATTATGGATTCCTTAAGACCCTAAATGTGCATGAATGACCATTCTTGGGCTAAATCAAATCCTAGATCCTAGGGTTGTGTCCCAAGGCCTCCAAATACTTTTATAAACTTGTTTAAACCCAATGGAGCTCATGGTGGACCATTGTCAACAATGGTTGACTAAGCTAACCATATGTGCTTCATTTAACATAATCATCAATTTTTATGATCAAACGAATTCTAAACATTGGCGTAGTGTCTTAAATCTTCTAAACACATCATGAACTCATATAAGCTTATTAGAACCTTTGGTTCCTCATGGGTCAACATAGTTGACCAATTTGATCATGAAAGTTTGACTCATACACCTAGCCTATGTAATTAAACCCAAATTCCATTGAGTTTTGACCTTAAACCTATTCCAATTGTATGAACATGTCCAAAGGAATTCCTGTCCACTAGCCCAAGCTTTGGGCTAACTTGGATCATCCAATTGGGCTAGCCCAAGTTAGCTGAAATGGTCTAAAACCTAAATTAAATACTGATATGACTTCATGTGACATCATTACAGATGGATATGACACATAGACATTCATGATTCATATAACTAATAGAGTGATAATATAAAATAACTGAATACAACACCAACATATGTATTTCCGTTATAAATTTATAGATTTTCTATTGATTTCAGCGACATGATTTTTGACTCTCAACCATTTACCGATCATTGTGATTTATACTGTTCATTGATTGACTGCTAGATTCATATAAATTTTGTATAGATCATGTTGAATGATTTATACCATTGTTTAAAATTGCGCAATATGAGGCTCGCATTATCGCAATTCTAGTAAAAAATGCCTAGAGACTTACGTCTCGAGTTTTTTCTATGAGGCTTATGCCTCAGCTTGGATGAGGCCCACCTTAAG